AATAATTTTAAACTCACAGAAAGGTTGGAAGACTAAGGACACTACCCTTTACTCATTTTCACCCGTAGTTAATATTTTACTCTATTTTAGTTTTATCATTCTCTCTCTTTTTTTTTTCTTTCTTTTTGAACTACTTTAGAGTGCATTGCAGATGTCATGGCCCTTTAACCCAGCAATCTGTGAGCAGTTCAGTTTCCCCATGTCCTTACCAACACTTGCTATTGTCTGTTTTTTTTTTTTTAATGTTTATTTATTTCTGAGAGAGAGAGAGACAGAGCGTGAGCAGGGGAGGGGCAGAGAGAGAGGGAGACACAGAATCTGAAGCAGACTCCAGACACTGGGTTATCAGCACAGAGCCCGATGTGGGGCTGGAACTCATGAACTATGAGATCATGACCTGAGCCGAGGTTGGATGCTTAACTGACTGAGCCACCCAGGAGCCCCCTCATTTTGGTTTTGATGTGCATTTCCATGATGACTAATGATACTGAACATCTTTTCACACGTTTTTTAGTCAGTCATTAGTATATCTTCTTTGGTGAAATGTCTATTCAGATTCTTTGCTCATTTTTAAGTGGGATTATTTATCTTTTTATTATGGAATTTTAAGAATTTTTAATATATTTATATTTATCAAATATATGATTTGTAAATATTTTTCTCCAAGATATTTTTCTCTGTTTCTTGTCTTTTCATTTTTTTCTTATTTTTTATTTATTTTGAGAGAGAACACAAGAAGGAAAGGGCAGAGAGAAAGGGCTCTGCACTGTCAGCGCAGAGCCTGATGTGGGCCTCGAACCCATGAACTGCGAGATCATGACCTAAGCCAAAACCAGGAATCAGACACTTAATTGACTGAGCCACCCAGGTGCCCCTTGTCTTTTAATATTCTTTTTTTTTTTGTTTTTTTTTTTTAATGTTTATTCATTTTTTTGAGAGAGAGAGAGAGAAAGAGAGAGACAGTGCAAGCAGGGGAGGAGCAGAGAGAGAGGGAGACACAGAATCTGAAGCAGGGTCCAGGCTCTGAGCTGTGAGCACGGACCCCAATGTGGGGCTCGAACCCACAAACTGTGAGATCATGACCTGAGCCGAAGTCGGACACTCAACTGACTGAGCCAGCCAGGCTCCCCTCTTTTAATTTTCTTAATGGAGTCTTTTGAAGTATGAGTTTTTGATTCTGATCAAGTTCAAGTCATCCTTTTTTTCTTTCATGGATCATGCTTTTATGGTGTCATATCAAGAAAAGGCAAATATTAATATCAATTTTCAGAGAATTATGGGATTTGCGCTATTAGTTTAATGATGAGATCCATTTATTGTGTGAGCTTTGTTGAAATGTGTAAGGATTTGCCTTTGAGTGATGATCATATTGTCCCAGCCTCTTCTGGGTAGCTGTTACTAGTGAGGCAATATAATATTCATAAAAAGTGCAGGCCTGACTGCTTGGGTTTGAATTTTGGCTTCATCCCTTACTAGCAGTGTTGCTTTGGGAAAGTGACTTTATTTCTTTGTCTCAGTTTCCTCATCTGTAAAATGGGGATAATACATCTTTCCTCATAGGGTGTTTGTCTATGTAAGGTACATAGGAAATGCCTGGAAGAGAGTAAGGGCTAAAAAAATATTAGCTCTTATTGCTAAGGGAGCAATTCTCAACTGTAGTTTGGGATGGAGTTGTGCATATTGGAATCTTTTGAGGGGCTTTTTAACACTTCGCATGCCTTTCTAAAATGACAGGTTCTGCCAAAGGTTAGAGCAGCTGGGGTAATAAATACTGCACTTTGCCTTCCTTGACACATTCAAAGCTGATTGTTCCTTAAAATCACTTTCATTAAATGAGGCAATTTGGGTTGATGTGTAGAATCACAAAACTCTTCATCAGATATAAAAATAGCTCAAGCTCCATTAACACTTACAAAATGAATAATCCATTAACTCCTGTTGCCAAGGCAAAAATTAGGCAGTCTTTGGCAAACCAAGAACAGAATGTAAGCTGTGTTTGAGAAATACATTTCTCTGCCTTTGGGATGGTTTATTTGTCCAAGGATTAGAATATGGGCCCAGAACTTGCAATTCAAAAATAGAATTATAGCTTTGCTCTTGTTGGAGGGGAAGATTCTCAACTCTTTTCCTTGTCTTCATTTGCAGAATGAATGTAATAAAACTTGAGACCTACTTACCTTCAAAAGGGATTCATGATCTGGTATAGGACTAGTATCAGGATATATAAAGAATTCCATAACTCAACAATAAGAAGACAGAAAATGGGCAAAGAATTTGCATAGACATTTCTCCAGAAGAGATGTCCAACAAAGATATGAAAAGACGATCAACGTCATAGGTGAACAAGGAAATGCAAATCAAAATTACAGTGAGATACCACCTCATACCCACCAGGATGGCTGTAATAAAGATTTTTTTGAGAGAGAGAGAGAACACGTGCACACGCGCACACAAGCATGGGAAGGGCAGAGGGAGAGAGAGAATCTGAAGCAGGCTCCATGCCCAGCACAGAGCCCAATGTGGGGCTTGATCTCACAATTGTGAGCTCATGACCTGAGTGGAAATCAAGAGTCAGATGCTTAACTAACTGAACCACCCCAGGCACCCCTAAAAAGAAAGTAGTAAGTGTTGGCAAAGGTGGAGAGAAATAGGTACCGTTGTACAGTAATGCTAAGAATGTAAAATGACTCAGCTGTTGTAGAAATCAGTTTGGTGGTTCCTCAAAAAATTAAGCATAGAATTACCACATGACCCACCAATTCCACTCTTAGGTATGTACCCAAAAGAATTGAAAACATGGTGGCACAGAAACTTGTACATGAATGTTATAGCAGCATTATTTATAATATCTGTAAGATGGAAGCAACCCAAACGGCCATCAAGGGATGAATGAATAAACCAGTTATTTTATATATACAATGGAATATTATTCAGCCATAAAAAGGAATGAACTACCAATACGTGGTACAACTTGGATGAGCTTTGAGTACTTGCTAAGTGAAAGAAGCCAGACATGAAAGTCATATATATTATATGATTCCTTTTATATGCTACATCCAGAACAGGCAAATCAAAAGAGACAGAAAGCAAATTAGAGGTTATCAGGGGATGAATGATGGAGAACGGGAAGTGATTCTTTAATGATTATAGAATGTTTTTATGGGGTGAAAAAAGTTTTGAAAGTAAAGAGAGCTGATGGTTGCATAACATTGTGAATACAGTACATATCACTGACTTTTACACTTTAAGTTCATTTGTTTTGGAAGAGAGAGCATGAGCAGGGGAGGGGCAGAGACAGAGAGGAAGAGAGAGAATCCCAAGCAGGTTCTGTGCTGTCAGCCTGAAGCCTGATGTGGGGCTCAAACTCAGGAACTGTTGAGATTGTGACCTGAGCTGAAATCAAGAGTTGGACGGTGAACCGACTGAGCCACCCAGGTGCTCCTCACGTCATTTTTTTTTAAAGGAAGATATAGGAGCATATTTACTATTTTTGCTACCCAGAGACAAATGTTTTATTTAAAGTGCAGAGAATGATGAATGACACAAAAGGATAGCTATATTTGATGTGGCAACTCCAGTGTCTAGATATTTCTCCAGATTCATTTTTCACTCATCTCTTTGCTTGGGAGAATTTATTCTTAACACATAGTATTTTACCTGGAAATACTACAGTGTCTGCTAAGATAGAAGCAACATGTTTTATAAAGAGTATATTGTTCTTTGGGGAATCCCATAAAAGGCCTGGTTGCTCTGGGCCTAACAAAGCTGATAAAGGAGCAAAAGATATTCTGAGAGCCTACATTTAGATGGCATTCTGTTTTTCCTGGGCATGCCATTATATCAGGCTGTCAGTTCCTTCTTTACAAAGCAATTTTTTTTGAGGGGAATTTCACATAACACAAAATTAGCCATTTTAAAGTGAATGATTGAATGGCATTTAGTGCGTTTACAGAGTTGTGCATCTACCAGCTCCATATTATTCGGAAACATTTTCATCACCCCAAGAGGAAATTCTGTATCCATTAAATACATCCTTGCCAGCATTTGTTATTTTCTACTTTTTTGATTATAGCCAGCCTACTGGGTATGAAATGGTATCTTATGGTTTTGATTTGCATTCCCCTAATGACTCATGAAGTTACCATCTTTATGTGCTTGTTAGCCATTTGTATTTCTTCTTTGGAAAAATGACTACTTAAGTTCATTTTCTATTTTAAAAATTGGGTTTTTTTTTTAGTTGTGTTCTTTATATATTATAGATATACACCCTCATCAGATACATGGTTTGCAAATATTTCTGTCATTCTGTAGGTTGTCTTTTTACTTCCTTGGTAGTGTCTTTTGATACACAAAAGTTTTTAATTTAGGTGAAGTCTCATTTGTCTATTTCTTTCTTTTGTTGCCCATACCATTGATGTCATATCTAACAATCCATTGCCAAGTCCAAGGTCATTAAGATTTTCCCCTAAGAAAACTCTTTCTTCTAAGGGTTTTATAATTTTAGCTTTTATATTTAGATCATTGATCCGTTTTGATGTAATTTTTGTATATGGTAGAGGTTTGGGTCCAACTTCATTTGTTTGCATGTGATTATTGAGTTGTCCCAGCACCATTTGTTGATGAGGCTCTTCTTTCTCCATTAAATTGACTTGGCACCTGGTTGAAAATCTGTTGGTCATAGATGCATGGGCTTATCTCTGGACTCTAAATTGTATTCCTGCAATTTACTTTTTTTTTTTTAATGTTTATTTATTTTTGAGAGCGAGAGATACAGAGCACAAGCTGGGGAGGGGCAGAGAGAGCCAGCGACACAGAATCCAAAGCAGGCTTCAGGCTCCCAGCTGTCAGCACAGAGCCTGATGCGGTGCTTGAACCCACGAGCTGCAAGATCATGACCTGAGCCGAAGTCGGACGCTTAACCTACTGAGCTGCCCAGGCATCCCTCCTGCCATTTACTTTTATGTGGGCTGAGTTTCTTATTTTTCTCCCTTTGATAACAGGATCATGGGGTTGATAGCAGCATTTTCCAGAATCCCAGAAAGCTTCACCTAACTATTGGAATGTTGGTACTTTTGAGTGAGCAAGAGATCCAGCAGACGTGTGAGATGCTACAGCAGTGTAAAGAGGAATTCATTGAGTGAGTAATCTACAGGAATGGGGAAGGGTGGTCACCTCGTACTGGCTTCTTTTTGGTGTCACAGACTTGTTTTTGCACTAGGGAGCTGAGTCACATGGCAGCAAGATTTGTCGACTCACCCAGTTGTTAACACTTACCATCGGAACGTTGTCTGAAAAGCTTAAAATGGATTTAAAGCATGTATTTACAAAATTTTATGGAAAGACTCTACCTTAAATTTTACTTGGTCAGTAGGCAAATTTTGTTCTTAATAGGACATCCCATTATTTTCTCCAAAAGGGAATTCTCTTCATTATCTGTTGAACAGGATAGACTACTGTATTCATTTTTTGTGTGTGCTGCGGAACACATTACTACAAGCTTGGTGCTTAGAACCATGCAAATTTATTATCTTCAAGTTTTTTGGGGTAGATGTCTGACATGGCTTTCACTGGGTTAAAATCAAAGTGTCCGCGAGGCTGTGTTCCTTTCTGGGGGCTCAGGGGAGGAGTTCATTTGCTTGCGCTTCACGCCCATCTCCTAGAGGTCACTCCCATCCTTTGGCTAGTGACCAAATCCTCTGTCTTCATCATCTTCATCATCTTCATCACTAGCTGCACTGCATCTCTCCGACCCTTCTGTTACTGCTTCTCTATCTCTGGCCGTAGTAGGGACAGGTTCACTGCTTTTAAGGACGCGTGAATTTGAGCACACCCAGATAATTCAGGATAATCATCCCGTCTAAAACTCCTTAACCTTGATCGCATCTGCAAAAGTCTGTCTGCCATGTAAGGTAGCGTATTTACAAATTCCAGAGAATAAGACATGAGCATCTCTGGAGGGCCATTATTCTGTTACCACAGTAACTCAAACATTACATAAATAACATGATTCCCTACTGAGGTGTTTATTGTATTTCAGAAATGCATTTTAATTTTCTTTTTTAAATACAGGTAGTATTGTTTGAGTCGGTAAGGATACCAAAAACTGTCCAAGCAGTCTGTTTTGGCTCGGGGAAAGCATTGCTCTTCTGGGGGTAGAGTTCTTTTTACTATAAAATGTTAATTTACATGTACATCTGACCTAACAGCTTTATTTTAAAGAATCATCTCTTCCCTACCCTTTACTCCTTTTACTTAAGACTGACGAAGAGTAAGAGAAATTTGAAAACTAAATAACTTGAAGAGCTTTTTTGGTCACTTATAATATTCAGGTCCCATACTATTTTTTTTTTAATTAAAAAAAATTTTTTTTAACGTTTATTTATTTTTGAGACAGAGAGAGAGAGAGCACAAACGGGGGAGGGTCAGAGAGAGAGGGAGACACAGAATCTGAAACAGGCTCCAGGCTCTGAGCTGTCAGCACAGAGCCCCATGCGGGGCTCAAACTCACAGACCGCAAGATCATGACCTGAGCCGAAGTCAGACGCTTAACCGACTGAGCCACCCAGGCACCCCAATTCTTTTTAACTTTTATTTACTTTTGAGAGAGAGAGAGAAAGACACAGAGTGCAAGCGAGTGAGGGGCAGAGAGAGAGGGAGACACAGAATCCGAAGCAGGCTCCAGGCTCCATGCTGTCAACACAGAGCCTGACCATGGGGCTCAAACTCCTGAACTATGAGATCATGACCTGAGCCGAAGTCAGATGCCTAACTGAGCCACCCAGTCGCCCCTAGGTTCCATACTATTTTTTTAATATTTTCTTATTTATTTTTGAGAGACAGAGATTGATAGAGAGGGAGAGAGCAAGTAAGAAGCAGAGAGAGGGGGAGAGAGAATCCTAAGCAGACTCTGCACTGTTAGTGTGGAGCTCTATGCGGCGCTTAAACTCATGAACCGCGAGATCATGACCTGAGCCGAAATCAAGAGTGGAATGCTCAACAGACTGAGCCCCCCAGGCGCCCCCCCCATACTATTTTGATATGGCCTTGTAGAAGTGGGTTACCTAGTTCATTGGGTAAGGCAAGGTAAAAGGGTTACATTTTCTTATATATGCTGTAAATAAAACTATGTAATAGGGTGACTTGTTTGTGGGCCATTTCTTCTTTTACAGTTTTGAAGACAAGGTATTTTTCTTGAGCAAAATCATAAGCTGACTGGGTTTGCAGCCTGCAAAGAATACTTCTTTGCCTTGATCTTTGCTCCCTGATGGACCTAACTGTTCTCTCTCCATCTTAACCTAACATTCAAAATCATTGTTTGTAATTAGATATTTGCAATTTCCTTGCATACGATAAAACTTTGTGCTTTACCTTACAAAGCAGAGCAATTTTATCTGATTTAAGAATTAGTCCTGATACTTAACTTATTTCCAGATCATGTTTTGCCAAACGAAACGGAAAGCAGCTGCACTTTCTTGGCTGCCATGAGGGTAATCCTGCTAAGAAAAATTTAAAGGTAGATAAATTATTTGTTTAGGGAAGTGTTTGTTTTCTTACCTGTGAAAATCAGGCCACAGGTTTTTAATCACTGAAGCTTTATCCTGAGCTATGTGAGGATTTAGCTGAGTTCTTCCCTTTTATGTCTCCTGGTGCCTTTTGTGACTAAATGCCAAATCTGAGCCCTTTAAGCATGTCAGGGTTGGTGTGCATAGGAAATGAAGAGCAGCCTTAATAGTTCCTAAGAATTTTTGACATGACGGGATGAAAACAGTAATTGTAGTTTTTCAAATTCAGCAAAGCTTTTGAAATAGGACAGAGTTACACTGCCAAAAATCTGCAGTGCAGGCAAAAATTTTTTTGAAGAGGCTTTTTTCAAAAAGCTGAAAAGATTTGAAACCAGCTAGTAAAGCAACCCCTCCCCCCCCAGCCCTCTTCTCCCACTTTCTCCTCTGCCACACATACTTGTTTAAAAAGCACATAGTGCAAAATTAACTTATTTCTGAGGAGAATGAGACTCAGAATTGGCTGTTTAGGTTGGTTAGAAGTGCCTTGTTTCCCTAACAAGGGAAAAATGTCTCCTAAAAATACATACATATAGCCACACACACACTTACAGCCCTGGTGAGTAGAATTCTCATTTAACTTTCTTATTCATACTCTTTGATCATAGCTTTTGTACTTGATATACTTAGATTGTCAGTAAATAGTGGCTTTTCTTTTTTTTGAAATGTTTATTTATTTCTTTTCAGATGGGGGAGGGGCAGAGAGAGGGGGAGAGAGAGAGAATCCGAATCAGGTCCCATGCTGTCAGCGCAGAGCCTCACAGGGGGCTGGATCTCCTGGGGTTCAATCTCCTGAACCCTGACTTGATGACCTGAGAATAGTGGCATTTCTAACCTGGGCCTTTTATGATGTAAAGATCCCAAATTAAAATATAAGAAGGGAAAACTTTGAAATTGATGGACTAATAAATAACATGCTGTGGTTTAATTTGATGGCTTTTTAAAATTGAGAGATTAAATCTACATGGCTAGATTGGGATTTAATTAAAACTGTGGTGCTAAATAGATATTTTAAAGAAATAGTTGAATATTTGTCTTTAATTTGGGGGTGTTTTTCGAGTGATGTTACCTGACCAGGAACAGAATTTTGATTTCAATTCTTAAGCTAAGGGCTCATGAAGCTGTATAGATTCCGAATGAATTATTCAGTGTTCAGTAAACACTGAAGCTTTAAATGTATCCCTTGTGACTTTTCCTTGTGAGATGGAGAACACAAACAGAGCGGTGGCTCTGAGTATATAGTCTGACAAATACGCAGTATTTTTTTGGTTCCAGTATCACTCTTCTTGTACCTAAGTGTTCCCAGTAGGCCTGAGGTAAAACCAAATAAGTTAAAAAGGGACAAGAATAAGGAGAGAAGAGGAGGAAAAATACCCATGGATGAATGCTGGTTCCTGTTTATTGCCTCAAGTGTCAGTTGAAAAGTATGCTCATGGGTGTCCCAGGTGAACTCTTTGTCACCATGACCAAGAGTATGAGTCAGGTAAACCACTGAATTTCTCTCCCTCTTGGTAAATCCTAGAGAAGGTTGAAAGAGTTTCTGTTCCTACTCCTGAGACAGGCTTTAGATCCTGTTTCATTGTTGCATTTTTTGTTGTTGTTGTTCCTGGTACCCCATCTAATTCCAAAGATTTGAGGTGGTTTGGATTGAGGATATACGTACAAGAGAAATGTTAAAAGTCAGGGAGCTCAGAGATAAAGATGGAATGGGAGAAGGTTTTACCTGAAAACCAAGGAATGGTTATAATTACACTTGAACATTAAAATTTAATAGTTTTCAAGCACTGGTATACTTGAACTAAATTCCAAAAAGAAACACATCCATTATTACACTTCTTACCTGATAAAAAGGAGCATGACAGTTTTTTAGGAGAGAATCCTTTTCTGGTTCTCAATCCAAGAAAATTTTGTCATGTAAATCTTAACCCAAAATGATGATGAGCAGTGTCTTCAACAGGACTTTTGCAGAGAATACAAAAATATTGTTTACATGGTTCTCTCTTGGTTCGATCCCTAGAATTTGAGGGTAGAGCATTAGGCAGAATCCAGTAAAAACATTTTAGTGGGAAACTAAACCAATGGTATGGTGCTTTGGGGTGATTTATGCGGGGTCAGAGTTAGGGGAAAAAAGTAGAAGAATGTATGGTTAGTATTAAACTTTTTTTCATGTAAGTTTGACTATACCTTGATAGGATTGAATGGCAGTCTTCTGTGTTGAGTTTTCGCTTTTATTTGGAACGGAGATCTTCTGTGCTGTTGGATGAAGCTATAGGCCTCAGGTAATAGTTCAGAGTGTGGCTTGTGTTTTGGAACACCCCACTTATTAGAGGTGGTAACAGGGATACTTATGATGGAGGCGGTAATTTTTATTGAATATCTGTCTAAAATAGTTTCTTACTGAAAAAAAATTCTGGTCTTGTGCAATAATATGGTCTTGAAGTTTTAAGGGAATATTTACCGTGAAGTTTCCTAGACTACAAAGGGTCTCTCTGTGGCATTGGTGCAGTGTCAAGAGAACTGTTTTGTTTTGCTTTTTTAGGAATTGTCCTTTGGTTTATCCTAACTTCCTTTTGTCTTTGAGCTAGTACCACATTTTTTTTCAATGACGATGTAGGCACGTGTCCACATTCTTCTCAAAATTGTCCAGAAAAGCTTCTCTGTTTAGTGTAGAACATCCAGTCAGTGTTTACCAGAGATTTATGGAGTTTACCTATTTTACATAAGGCATTGTGCCTGGCTGAGGATATCAGAGTGGACAAAATGGATAGATTGTCCAGCCTCATGGGGCTTGCAGAAGACTGTATATGGTGAGCTGATTTTTAGCTGGGTTTCACCTTGGCACTGCAGGGCCTTTTCTGGTTGAAGGATAAATCTGTTTAAGGAGCTGGGAAGGAAGCAGAACGGTGAAGTTTTACTTAACATGAAAGTAATACCTGCACCCATGAAACTAATGTAACATTGTATCTCAGTTATATTTCAATTAAAATAAATAAAGTCATACATAATTAGTTTTAGAAAAGTCAAAAATTATAGATAAACAAAAATATCACTTTTAATCTTACCGCTTAAAGATAATTACTATTAATGCTGTGGAGTATGTACTCTCAGACTTTTTAATATGCAAGTCTGTATTTCTTCTTTGAAGTGTAATTTACTTACAGTAAAATGCACAGATCTTAAGTGTAATTGATGAGTTTTAACAAATGTATACACTCATGTAACTTCAGCCACATCAAGATGTAGTACATTGTCATTGCTCTGTGAAGTTCCATCATGACCTTTTCCAGTAAATTCACTTCTCCCAGCAGCAACTATTGTTCTGATTTCTGTTTCCATAGATTAATTTAGCTTGTTCTTGAATATCATATGAATAAGAAATCAGTCTGTACACTTTTGTGTTTGGCTTCTTTGGCATATATGGGCATTTTATAAACTTATGTGTGGCTTCTTTTGCATATATTTTTTATATTAACTTTTTAATGGATAATACATTTACATGGTGCAAGATTTTAAAGATTCAAAGGATATGCAGTGAAGGGTTTCCTTCCCACTGCTATTCCCACCAAGCACCCTGCTCTCTTCTCTAAAGGCAACAGATTTTTCCAGAGATTTTTTTATACGTACAGGGAATGGATATATATATATATACACACACACACACACACACATATATATATGTATATATATATGTATATATATATATAAATTTTCTTACTCCCATCTTTTGCACAAATAGTAATATATAGCATGTATATTGTTGTGCACCTTTTCTTAAAACCTTAATGAATATTTAATTTGTTGCCAATCTTTGGTTGTTCCAGACAAAGCTTCAGTAAAACCCTGTGCCCAAATTGTTTTTCATGAGTATAGGTGTGACCTGTTACATCATATCAGGAAATAGTATTGTCTGGTTGTTCTTTTGTGTGTGTGTGTGTGTGTGATAAGTTTGATCAGTGGGTTCAGGTGTGGTTAGCCTGATCCATCATTATAGAGCTCCCCTCTTTATATTTTCTTTATATTTCAGCCTTTTGCCATTAAGTTTCAGCAGCCATTGCTAATCATTGTCTTCATCCATTATTTCATCAGGGGTTGCAGAATGGTGATACCCTGATTTCATCATTACTTCTGCGTTTATTAGTTGGAATTCTTCTGTAAAGAACTTCCCTTTGTCAGCTATGGTTGGATACGTAGCTGAATTCATAATGATTTCCTTAGGTTTGGCTCCCAGAAATTGAGTTGCTTGGACAAAGGGTTTCTACTCTTGAAGACTTTTTATAAATATTGCTGTTAGGATGTTATACCACTTTATGCCTCCACCATTGTTAGGTGAGTAAAATACTGTTTGCAGCTTATAGAAATAATGAAATAAAACCCAAGAGATGGGCAACACATTAAATGTCTTTGTCAATCAGAGCTGTCATTCCTTGGCTTTTTCTTGTGAGTACTAATAAACTGGTATTGGGATAACTGTAGTGTGACTTTGGAACTACTTGTATTTCTAGTTGGTGTGCATAGAACACAATTTTGAAATTAGAAGGATGGTTAGATAATATTGTTAGTAAAAAGAAAAACCTCCCAACAATTTTATTTTTGGTAATATTTGACTGTGTATAATAACTATGTTTAAAATATAATGGCCCTCTTAGTTTAAACATTTGTAAAAATGTTTAAAATTTGTAAAATTTGTAAAAATGTAAAAATGTTTCCTTTGCAGTGACATTTCTGGGGGCAAACCCTTAGAGGTAGAGATGGCAGGGATAGAATACATGAACGATGATCCCGGCATGGTGGATGTTCTTTATGCCAAAGTCCATATGAAAGACGGCTCCAACAGGTATGTTTTTGGAATGCTTCTTTGTTTCCATCAAGAGGTGCCTAAAAGCACTGCTAGAAGTTCAACAAGTTTTGATTCCTTTTCTTTGAGATCTTACTATCATAAAGAGTGTGTCAGTTCTTTTTTTTTTTTTTTAAATAGTAAGCAATTATCTTAAAAGAGGAATTTGTTGTAGGAAAAGTATCAGATTTTAGTCTGATAATTATTGAGTTACTTGGATGGTGGATATTGATTGTAGCAATCTAGTTTTTATGATGTATGCTTTCTTCATGTTTTTCAGTCTATAGGAGGCAGAAAGGATGGCATTTTAGGATGGTAGTTAGTTGCAAAAGTGACATAACACAGATCTAGTGAATACCATGATTCACAAAATGGGATGATAACTATACAAACTCTACAAGATTATCTACACGAAGATTAATCTACATGAAATGCTTAGAACAGTGCTTAGCACATACAAACATCCTCAACACATACCAACAGATGTTTACTGTTTTTTTATTTTTGTTGTTACTACACAGATCGCTTCTAGGGATTCTCAGTCTGTGACCCAGGCTATTTCTGAGGCTAGTTTAGGCATCCAGAGCCATTTCTAATGTTAATGCTGTTTATTAGTCTATTCAAGGTCTTCTGTGAGCAGAGGAGCTAAACTTGAATTGGAAGTTTGTTTTTGTGGTCTTTTTATTAAGGCGGGATAGAACAGAGCTCACCCTGAATCAGAAACCCTCCAGAGAAAATGAAAGTCTTTAGGCAAGCCCCCAAATTGATTTGCTTTTCTAGAGGATCCCTTGTAAGATTTCCCATATTTCAATTCAAATTGGTAATCTCCATTATCTTCTAGCTCGTTTCAATTGGAAGTGAATTTGGGGCGGGGCTGGGCGGGGGGTGGGGGGGGAAGGAAAAGACAGTATAGAATCAGATGTTGTGTGTGTTTTGGACCAGATTTGTCTTGGATACCTGGCATGTGCCTAAATAGCATACTAATAACCTTGTCTTAAAAAGTAGGGACGCATTGTTCTTTCAGGACATCCCAAAACATTTCTTATGAGCTTGGAATTTGATATCCGGTATGGATCATTTCCTTTGCATTGTGAGTTATAACAGTCCGATGTCTTCACCAGTTATAGGGCTCCTGTGTATGGAGTAGATTACTTTTCAGTTTTGTGAACAAAAACAGTGAACGATAAGATAGCAGTTCTCAAGCTTTTTGTCTTCATAATCACTTAATTTCTTTTTTTCTTTCTTTTTTTTTTTTTTTAATTTATTTTGGAACAGAGAGAGAGCATGAACGGGGGAGGGGCAGAAAGAGAGGGAGACACAGAATCGGAAACAGGCTCCAGGCTCTGAGCCATCAGCCCAGAGCCTGACGCGGGGCTCGAACTCCCGGACCGCGAGATCGTGACCTGGCTGAAGTCGGACGCTTAACCGACTGCGCCACCCAGGCGCCCCATAATCACTTAATTTCTTAAAAATTATTGAGGACACAAGAGAGCTTTCTTTATATGGATTATAGTTATCAATATTTACCTTATTAGAAATTAAAATTAGAAATTTAATATTTGATGGTTCATTAAAAATAGTAATATTTTTTGTTTACATAAATAATGCATTTTTCATGAAAAATCTATTTTCCAAACCAAAAATATTTAGTGAGAAGATAGGCATTGCTTCACATTTTTGTAAATTTCCATAATGGAAGACAGCTGGGTTCTATCTGCTTCTCTGTTCAGTCTATTGCAATATGTTGTTTTGATTGAAGTATACAAGAAAACCTGGACTCACACAGAAATGTATTTGGAAAAATGAAGAGTACTTTCAGTGTTTTCAGCTAATTCTGGATATTTGATACTACACTAAAACTTGACAAGTTACAGTTTGGTAAAGGTCAGAAATCCTATCAGCGAACATTTCATACTCTTGCACTAAAATCCATTGATCTCTTTTACATTTTGACCGGACCTTTAATCTATGCACAGTTTTGTATTGGTCATTTAGAAGATACCGGTTCACTGAGTTATGCACATCTTCCAAATGTTGACATACTTCATTATGCGATGTTAAAAACGTATTGATCGCACTATTAATTTCACCACAGACTTTAAGTATTAAGAAGCTGCTGTCAAGCTCATGGTAGCAGAGACACATTTTCTAAAATTCTTATTTTCACTTGAAAGCTTAAATTTTATTATTGGCCCAAAATACTGTTTTCCTTGAAGTTCTTTTTTGAGAAAATGTCTGTCAAATAGCCAAGTCTGAATAACCATAATTTGTCTGTCAGTCGTTCTTTCAAATAAAAATGGCGTTCGTGAACAAAGAGGCTAGTTCAGCTCCAGCTCTGACAACCTCACAAGTGCTTTTCCTCCAGACAGCCATCTGCTTCCACATACAGCCCAGCTGCTTTATCCATACTGCTGATTGCATCACACAGGTACATTAAAAAGACATGTACTCAAGGCCTGAGATTTAATAAAATCGATTATTTTTACAGTTTCATCAAGGATAAATGAAACTAGTTTTTTTAAAAACCATGTATATATAGTGAAGAATATACTGCTGCTCATACAATTTGCTGCCGCCGCCTTAGTTTATACTAAGGTGCCAGCAGTTTTTCTGTTGTTGTTTTGTTTTAAAAACAACTTTTTTTAATGTTTTTTTTATTTTTGAGAGGGAGAGAGACAGACAGACAGACAGACAATGCGAGTGGGGCAGGGCAGAGAGGGAGACACAGAATTCCAAGCAGGCTCCAGGCTCTGAGCTGTCAGCACAGAGCCCAGTGCGGGTTTTCAAACTCACAAACTGCGAGATCATGACCTGAGCTAAAGTCAGATGCTTAACTGACTGAGCCACCCAGGCGCCCCAAGGTGCCAGCAGTTTTACCGAGCATTGCTTTTGCACCGTCTGTGCAAATGTCATTACAATGAAAAAGGCGGACAGTGTCATACAGTTACTATAAATATAGTTGTGACCTCATGGGCTCCCCTAAAAGAGTCTCAGGGATCTCCAAAGGTCCACAGACCTTACTGCAACAACCTTTGATCTAGGTAAGGTTTTAATTCCAATATTGAAGATTGCATAGTTTCCGGGGAAATTATAACTTTTTTTTTTTTTTTAAGCAATTACTCTTACTTGGAACTGTGCTTACATCGTATTATCTTCATTTTATCTTCGCAGCATCTGTATAAGATGGATAGTATTCGTATGCCCGTTTTATAGATAGGGAGGTTCAGAGAGTTTAAGTAGTTTGGCTAAGGAACATATAGTCTGCAAAACCATGCTCTGAATCCCTATGCCAGAATAAAGAAGGTTTTCAGTATGCTAGGTTGAGTATAATAGACTATGTTCCAATTCTTATTTCCACTTTTTTTTTGAAAGTGGTAAAATTCACATAACATAAAAATTACCCTTTTAACCATTTTAAAGTGTATAATTCATTAGCGTTGAGGACATTAACAACATTGTGCAACCACCACCACCAATGTTGCAGAACATCTTTATCACCCCAAAAGGAAGTCCTGTACCCATTAAGCAGTCACTCTTCCATACCCCCTGTTCTCTCCCCAGCTCCTGGCAACCAGTGATCTACTGTCACTATGGATTTGCCTATTCTGGGTATTTCCTATAAGTGGAACCACACGATGTGTGGCCTTTTGTGCCTGACTTCTTTCACTCAGCATAATGCTTTCCAAGGCTCATCCCTGTTGTAACAATGTCAGTACTTCACTCCCTTTTATGGCTGAATAACATTCCATTATATGGAGATACCACATTTCAAGTTGATCCATTCATCAGTTAATGGACATTTGGGTTGTTTCCACCTTTTGGCTATTGTAAATGGAGCTGTCTTCAATTCTTTTGGACTGACTCACTTCTAAAATGTATTACATTTTTTATTTCCTTGATTAACCTTATAGTTTTATAGGGCATCATAGCCACTTAGCCTGACCTCTGTTAATTTGCTTTCTTAGTATCTGTTACGGGATTTATTTAATTTTTGTTCATACTGGTTTAAACCTTACTGTTGTAAAACTGAAATCTTTGATAGCTTATAGACCTACAGTTAACATGAAGCTATATGGAAAATTTACATGGGATTGCAGCAATACAATAGTGAATTTTTCCTAATCTATGGCTTCAAGTCTGCATATGTCATAGACATCACAGTTTTTTATTTACTCTATTCTTGGTGGCCCCCAGAGGGAAAAAGAGAGGTTACCGGGAAGAGATAATAAAATCATTACTTTGAGTTTTTCCATTGGGTATCTTTACGTTTTGCTTTAATAGTTAGACTCTTGGTTCTGTAGAAGGCCTTCAAGTGTAAAGAAGAATATGTTTTTGAGATTGGAAGAAAATAAGAGCTATAGAAGCTAGGTGGCTTTTGAAGACAGAGTTCAGACACGATTGGTACCCACATTAATGGAATGGTGAGTGCTCCAAAGGTGAATGCACTCATTATTTTCCCAAAGATCCAGCCCTTAGAAATTGTGCACACTTACTATTGTCAAGGCTTTGTAAATTGAAAGATCTTATGAAGTATCCACCGAATCCACTAGTGTGATCAACCAAGAAGATTTTTGAATAATTCCCATCTCTCTTCCTGCCCATTTTTTTCTCTTTTGCCCATTCCTCTTCCACAGGGAGAGACATGTTTATGTTATTTCAAAAAGATTTGTAAAATCCCCTCCTCAAATGTGTGGTAATTACTAAGAGACTTAAACACCTCTTATTTAATTCAATTTTAAAGCAATTCAGATGCCTCCTTTGTGCAGGGTATTTTGGAGGGCTGTGCAAATTGATACGAATTGAGTAAGACATGGTCTGTTTTAAAGGAACATTAAATCTTTTTGTTTATATGAAGAGATCCTGCTCAAGACAAGAGGCATGGGAGAGAGACCATGTTGTAATAAAAACACATTCAAGTTTCTTTGTATGATTTCATGCAGTTTAAATCAGAGATTTCTTCCCTCAAAATGATTGAGTGTGAAGTGCCTGACCTTTAAAAG